GGTTTTGAACGTCTCCAGAGAAGGAGACGCCACAACCTCCCTGGGCAGCCTGTGCCAGTGCTTTGTCACCCTCACAGGGAAAAAGTTTTTCCTAATATTTTTGTGGAACCTCATGTTCAAGCTTGAACCCATTGCCCCCTATCCTGTCATTGGACATCAATGAGAAGAGGCTGGCTCCGTCCTCCTGACCCTCCTCCTCGACATATTTATAAACATTTATGAGGTCACCCCTCAGCCTCCTCTTCTCCAAGCTAAAGAGACCCAGCTCCTTCAGCCTTTCCTCATAAGGGAGATGTTCCACTCCCTTCATCATCTTTGTGGCTCTGTGCTGGACTCTCTCAAGCAGTTCCCTGTCCCTCTTGAGCTGAGGGGCCCAGAACCGGGACAAGATTCCAGATGTGGCCTCACCAGGGCAGAGTAGAGGGGCAGGAGGACCTCTCTCGACCTACTAGCTACTCCCCTTCTAATACACCCCAGGATGCCATTGGCCTTCTTGGCCACGAGGGCACATTGCTGGCTCATGTCCATCCTGCTGTCCACTAGAATCCCCAGGTCCCTTTCTCCTACGCTGCTCTCCAGCAGGTCAGTCCCCAACCTATACTGGCACATGGGGTATTCTTTCCCAAGAGCAAAACTCTACAATTGCCCTTGTTGAACTAATGGATGGAAAGGACCACCCTCAGATGACTACACGGCAGTTTACAGAGCCACTTCTCCAGGTGAAGACAGTACCCAAAGCACACAAACGGCAGCAATGCCAGTGCCCCTGCCCAGCTCCTTTTGAATCTTTGTGTCTCCCCCAGGCTTCCAAAAATTCACTCTCTCCTTAAACAGCTGGCTGTTCATGGCGCCTAAAGAAGTAAGCCTCAGGTTCTCAGACTTCAATGTATGAAGAAATAAGACAAGTAATTACAACAGAGCACATTAGAGTTTCCTAATGGCAGCTTGTCTCACAGAAGTGGGGCACTCAAAAAAACCGCAATACAAAATAAAAGCTTAGGACTTATCTAGATCCATCCAGCAGACAGTAAGACTCATTCCCAAATTCCTGACTGCAGTGTCCTGGATAAGGTGCTAGATTGTACAACTGAAGAGGAGATAAATTACAAGAAAGGTCACATAAATTCCTCAGAAGAGATGAAGAGTCTGACAGAGACTGTCCTGTCTGCCTTTATACATTAAATTCTACTGCAAAACAACAAATACATGAAGTTACTCTTTTAAAGTTCCTTTGAAACCTCCAGGAATTCAAAAAGGAACTGATCACTTTAGAAAACTTACAAGAGAAGGAATTGTGCAAACATTCTCTACTACACATTTTCACCAAAGTAAATTAGGTACCAACCTGAGGGATCATAAGGAAATCTGATTTCTAATAAGTGTTTATTATTTATTTTTCAGAAACTCATTTTCTTCAAAAGTATCCTATCTAGAGCTTCCAAAACCAACCACATAGTTTACAAAGCTCTGACTTTCTCTTGCCTGTGAAACTTGACACACACTTCAAGTGTCATTAAGACAGCAATATACACATAACCATTACTTCACACAGGTGAAACGTATTAGCCCTAAGCAAATACAAAGAGCATCTTGACCAAAGAACCCATAACAGTATAAAGTAGTAATACCTGTTCAATAGTCTGAAAGGAAAGACAGTATAAAGCGAACCTAATCTCCACAACTCCACATTAGGGAAAAAAAACACAACACAGCAAAACCCAGTGCAGATGCTAACACGAAAGACAACTGGCTGCCTCCTAGAGTACAACAGCACCTGTGGGCCTGTATTCTGCATCTGCAGCATCAACATCGCTCACCGGAAGAAAAAAAGCAAGCTTTCTTGGGATGCAGCAGGGCAAACTACTGCAAGAAGCATGTCTTCAGCAACACAGTATTTTTAAGTAAACATCTTATTAAAAGCATCTGGCACTCCCACAGCTGCAAGACTTACTGCTCCTTACAGCTGGCAACTCAACATTTGAAAGGGAGACTAGGCCTTTGTTTTGTGCTGGTGCCTTCTCTCCAGTGCACGCTGCAAGAGGGCATCCCTGACCATGCTCTGAGAGACGTCTGCCTGTTCCTGCCAGCAGGAACAACCACATGACACCAACACTCATGTCCTTCAGCTCTTCTGCCTGGTCAGACAAGAATAAAGCACTCACTATTTCTTTCGTACACATATGCTGCTGGTGAAAGACAACCCACCTGATAAGACCTATCCCCCTGCCAACTTGAGCATTTATCTTCCGAGGCTTATTTCCTACCTGCACACGCTGGAAGCAATAAGAAGAACAAAAGGATTTCTCTGAGCTGTTCAATATCAGGTGAAGAAATGCATTACACACATGAAGCATTCTAAAAAGCTTCTTCCCACTTCCCTCCTCTTTCACTAATATATCTCAATGCTGCTTATGCCCTCTCGTGGCAGAAACTGCACACTAATACTAGCCGGGGGCACACAGAAGCTGGAGCCCCACCGGGCTCCTTTCTCCCCTCCTCCCCCGCCAAACCTTTCATTTCCCCGGCTGGTGTTTCTCGCTTGCACTGGAGGAGGCAAGGATGCGTGGGGCTCTGCTCCTGTCCCAGCCACGGGAGCTCCATCGCACCGACTGAGATGCTTTTTCATCAGGAGACAGCTAGAGAGAACATTTTGCTGCTATTGCTGCAATTCAGCTTATAATCAAAGCACTGCTTAATTCACACATGGATTTTGATTCTAAATGGTTTTCCTGTAGGGTTTTTTTGTGGGTTGTTGTTTTAAGGCTGTCATTAAAATAACATGGGAAGGGAGCAAGCAGGGCCCACAGTAATAGCTAAAACAAACCACTGGATATATGGAGTTGATAAAGACTAAATGAACATGAGCGAGTTTGATATCCAAAAGGTGCCTAGAGGACGTCAGTAACATATGTTCTAAATGAGATTTTATTTTATTACATAGTTAATGAGTTTACTAGCAAGACCTGAGCTTTTGTTTGCCATGAGAATAGCAAAAGGTTAGAAAAATGACATGCTGTGCCACAGCTGTCAACCACCACCTCAGCCAGGGCAACAACATACCGGCGTCCCCTACTGCCAAGGTGATACTGAGACTATGTCTTGTACTTCTAAGTCCGTACTTGACACATAAACGTGTACTCACTGACTAAAAGGGCCACCTTGTGTATCATAAGCCTTGTTAAACAAGGCTTACCTGAAGGCACCTCTCATGGATATGCTTCCAGTACACCTTCAGTGTACACATGGGCTTTTAATGAAAGAATGAGGAACAGAGAGGCTATTTGCAGCTGCATTTAAAGTCATTAATGGGGAATAAAAAAAAAAGGAAAAAAACACCACACCTGGCAAAAACACCCCTAAACAAGAAGCAATGCCTCCTCCAACCAGAGTCAAAAAATGGTGTTAATTTTCTAAAGAAGAACTTCAACTGATATTTGCTGGAATTTCTTTTCTAGTTTTCTTTCTTTCCATCTCCCCACATTTTTTGCTTTCTTCTCCATTTCATTCAGTAGGAAAAGGAGGAAAAGCACAGAAAATGAAAGAAACTATCTTTGACTGGAAGTGAAGGTAAAATAACAGCCAAAATGAAATACTTTCAAAGATGGTTTGCTAAATATAAAACTTTGACCACCAATATAATAACATAGAGCAGTGAGAAATTCAGCAGATGATTCTTAGAGAACAAATGGATAATATTGTGTAAGAACAGGACAACTACTGTTTACATATGTTGAAGAGACACTGGCCATACACGAGCAAGCCCTCACCGATGGTCTTTGGAAGTGGGCTGTATTTCAGTGGCATAGTAAGTACCCCGGAGCAGCACTGTTCCCACATGCATTATCTCCAGTAAAACCACACAATTTGGGATATTGATCAGGACATTTAAGACCTCAAATAAACAAACAAACAAATAGGTCAGTGAAAGAAATTACCCTTAAGAATTCACAGAGTTCTAAAACAGGCCCTGTGGCTGAACATTTTAAAAGCAAAGAGCAGTGTAAATTCCCCTCTATAGTCAAACTCCCCTCTTCCCCACAGGGAACAGAGTTGAGTCAAGACAACAAAATTCTTCTACTCCACCCTGCTCATGGGTCTGGAAAAATGAATCTTAGGACTCTTAAGAGAGAAAGAGAGAGAGAGAGGCAAATAGGAGGGAGGAAAGGACACTGAGGGGACCTGAAGCGAGCCAGCAGCAAAAAAAGTCACAGGAGAACACACACAAAGAAATAAGCCTTCATCTGTTCAGAGGCAAAACATTAACATCTGCATCCACCTACCCCTTCTTTAAATGAATGACGTAGGCACTCTGTAGAGCTGCTTCCAGGAAGTAGGAAAGTTCAAACTCAGAGTTCGTCACATTGCTGCCCTTGACAGATCTTGAATGTGTGCTGTTTAAGGTCTGTGAGGGGAGGAAAGAAATAACTGGGATTACAGACAATTGTTTGAACTAGTCAGTTCTTCATGAGCCAGAGACGTCTCCAGCAATAAAATGTTAGTTTCTGCCATCAGATTCCTCCTCAGACTACTTGAAAACATACCCACATAAGCTAACCAAAAGCCTTTCAAAGACAACTTTAAACTAAATAATACAGTGACTTCCATGAAATATTCTGCGTGCAATATGAAACACCATCCCTTATTACATTCCAGCCTTGATTAAAGTAAGCAGAAAGCTACACATTAATACTAAAGGCTTCAGAAGTGGTACTCCAGCCATGGAGATCCAGCATCTTGCACAGAAGTACTGATGTGATGTTTGAGTAGGTATGTCCAGCTTAACATAATGTAAATATTTGTTAGTAAGCTACCAGGAGTCCTGACGGAAGAATCTTAGCCTTTATAGTTTCTCCTATCAAATCCTTCTTGCTTTTGCTTCCTTACTAGTAAAACAGCTTTCATTGGTCAAAGTTGTCCCGTGCGGACTCTCTAAGGCAGCGTTTTACATCCAGGACTGGAAAAGGCCTATGGGCTTTTAACACATCTGATCGATAAACCTGTATCCTTGTCTCTGTGTCCAGAAGATGAATGACTTAATTCAACCTCCTTCCCTTCTTTGCAGACACAAGCTGTCCATAAAAACATTTACAGCGCTCCATACTAGCAGGAACTCATTCTTCCGCAAAGGAAGGACTGTACTTAATTTTAAATTAAAAAGACACTCAGCTTTTTCCTACAAAGTAACAGACTAGACAACTGTTAGCTGGCTTCCTTAATCAATTTTTGCCTATGCCCTATCCTCATGCTCACTTGGCATCTCCCCATCATTTTTGCTGCCAAAACTCTGGAAATTCCACCCAGGCCACGAGGCAACATCCTGAGCACATTTCTTCTTACCTTTTCAAGCTCTTGCAAGAACACCTGGGCAATGACACATGCTGTTTCAAAACAAGCCATAGCTTCCTGTTCCCTTTCACACAGTCGAGCACGTGAGGCAACTGAGTTGGCTGAGCGCTCCAGTGACAGACCTGCAAAATGGCAACACCCTATTTAACTGGAGCCCACCAGCCACATTACTCCTTCATCTACCAGCTGACAGGAAAGTTTTCCCATAGGTGAGTTTCCCCCCTTGTTTTAGTGACTTTCAGGAAGAAGACCCCCAGGAAAATCTAATTCCTACACATGCAACGCATTTTTGTCATGCTGCTGTAACACATAACGCCACTGAACACTTTCACAGTGCTTTTCAAACATTTTATGAAGAAAGGACATACAATCCCTCTGGTAGGGATGAGCAAGCAAAGAAATTAAGGCCTACATTTCCAAAGATGGCTATAGATTTTGGGTGCTTCAATGCAAGTGCAGTTTCAGAAACATCCTGGCACCAAATTCAAAAATTTATAAGCATCCGTTATCCCAAGTAAAGCTTTCAATAAACAACAGTTTTGAAGGAGGGGAAGAGGGAAAAAAAAAAAGGAAAAATTTACCAAAATTGGAAAATCTGAGGCCTTTCTTGGAAAATCTGAGCACATGCAAACCGCACATAAACACACAGCAAGCTCCTGGCAAGGCACAAGAGACTCTTAACCACGAGATCACCCTCTTTTCCAAAGAAAGGGAAAAACAGAAAGCATTTTGTACCACTAAAACTCTTGTATCATCCTCCAACCCCACTTAAAAAGAGCCTGTTAACTGAAAACCCACAGCTATTGTCCCTACAGGGAAATTTTTTATTATCAGATCATTGTCTGGCAGCACACCCACATCAGCTTTTACTCTGATCAGCGTAGCTTCTTATGCCACACCACATTTCTACAATACACGACTGCTTGGAAAGTCAAGTCTTCTACACAAAACACAACTACACTGACACCCAGTAGCCCAACATAGGTTGTAATAAGTTCAGCAGAAGCTTCTCAATAAATTTTATATATAACAACACTCCCTAATACTAATGAGAAACGTGCAAGATATAACATAAAATCCTAGTGTTCCTGACAAAGATCCACAGAAGTGACGAAAGAAGAAAGCATTCCGCTATCAAGGAAGAGACTACTGCAGCATCCAGTAAAGGATTCTGTTTCACAGGAAGAGCTACCACATGTACCAGGAGCCATTTTCCTGGGCCCCCACAATCTTGGGAGCTCATTTCAGGAGTCTGACAACAAACGGCTGTGAGGCAGCAAGGAGGAGCCAGACTTCCCCACAACGAACTGACGCAGTATGAACGCTCATGCTGGAGGAGCCTGAGGTTCCTAAGCAGTCTTAGTTTTGTTTACTTCTCATGTTCAATGTTTCTGTTTTGTCCCCTTGGTTACTCTCCTAGGAGTTTCCCTACCTCATGTCTTACAATTGAGCCAGATACAAGTCTTTGAGAGAAGAAGATGGCCCACCAAAGCAAGCTCAGGAGCTCCCCGCTCCTGCCCACTCCCAAGTCACAAGTGCAGGACACGTTCCCTTCAGCACCTACAGCTTGGAGGAACATGTTAGTACCTTTCACTTCTGAAAATCCTGGGCAGAATAGAGCAGGTGGAGTGGATTTACTTCAAACTGATGGTGTGGGGGGGCCAGGGACAATGATAATTGTTTTTAACTAATGCCCATCTTGTGTTGTCTCCTTTCTAATGCCATACACCTTTTACAGCATGCAACATAACAGATTTTGTCTTCTAGTACATCTGTGAAGTCTCCAGCTTTATATCATGGATTGGTTTCCTATTATTTCAAAGGTTCTATTCTAACCCTGTTGCTATGTCAGGAAGGCGAAAAGGGGATGTTAACTCTCTATACAGAAAAAGAAACCATCCAGTGCTACAACATTCAGTCTACAAGTATTCTTCTTAGATCTGTCCCAGTTTTACCTACCTTTGAATTTCTAGTCATTTCCCTTAAATGAAAATAAATTTTAAAGAACTGTTGCACTTCAGAGTCACCATGCCCTTAAATGCAAAGTGGAGCTGAAAGAAATCCAGTCCAATCCACTGACATTCATACACATGCAGCATTTAATCAAACTGCAAGAGCCATCCTAGCACAGTCTGTGTGGGGGTGGTTATCGTGGGAGATGTCACACGGAGAGAACAGGCTGATAAAAAGCCATTTACATGCATGCTGCAGCCCACTGCAAGGAGCTACTATTTCTAAGCTCTGATGTGGGAGAGAAAAGCAAGGAGCCTTTGCCAGCATCAAGTACTGACCACAAACATATCATCCATGTGGTCAGAAAAACAGCTAGAGGCTGAGCAGAGGCAGGGGAACAAACATATTGAAAAAGGTTTCTTGCCACAGTAAGCACAGTGCAATACACAGTGTATTAAGAGAGATACTACGCTACATTGCACACATTTTTCTATTTGTAAAGGGCAAGAAGGAAAAATGACCCACATGATGCAACCTTAGTCATGGTTCTTCCTGCTAATACCATATCTACTGACCTGATGCCATCAGAGTATAAAATCTTCTATAGAATACAAACAGAGCTATTCTTCCCTACCACAGAAATCCAATTAAAAGAAAAATTAGAGCAAGCAGACTACAAATCCAGTAGACGAAATTAAGGACAGAGGAACAACAACAAAAGTTCCCTACTCTTGCAGCCATCAATTCAGTTCTCGCAGTGCAAAGCCCTGACAATTACGGATTTGCTCAAGATGCAGTTGGACAAGACTGTTTACGAGCCCTCCAGTCCTGAAAACACAAATTCCACTAACTCTTCTCCATTCCCCATTTATAAGCACAGCAAAATCTCTGCAGAACAACAGCCATTATAAATTCAACTCTGTTCCCCCAAAGTGTTAAAAAACCACAAAAGTGCATGCTGCATCCATACTGGATTTAACAAGGTGTTAACTCTTGCTAAGACAGAACTAGCTTCTGAGTAAAGTATAAACCCATTTGCTTTCTTTGGAACTCATTAAGGTAAAGGAACTTTGGTATAGTATTTTTCACAATCAGTTATGGTGAGATAATATCAGCTTACAACTTATCTATGCTAAGGCTTTTCTCATAGGAAATGGGTGACCAAGTTTAAATATATACATAAATATACAACATAAGAACATTTTATATAGTGAAGATACAGATTTCTAATAGAGTATGGCCCAAGCTCAAGATTTTAAGAGAGGCACGTTTCCGCATTATCCATTTTAAAGAACAAACTCTTTCTACTCTCTTCAGAGGCAGTAACTTTCTATGTATAGGAACACTGCTTTTCTTTCCTGCATAAAGGGAAGTTTTCTGTTTGCCTCCTCTAGTTCTCCTGAAGATCCATCTCTGGCTCTCAATCTCTCTATAATCTCTGCTCCTTCTTCCCCTCTTCTAAAGATAAACTTTATTTATGTCAGAAAAAAAAAAAAAATCAAGCTCGTAAGGTTTGTTGTGCCACTGAACTAACTTCCTCCTAGAGCTAAAATGCACTGCTCACATTTATGGAAACCTGAAAGGAGAGATTTTATGAAGGTTTATTTCCACTTGTATCTCACTCAGTTCTTGCCAATGGAAGATGCTGCATCATGTAGCTCCAAAGCTCTAAAGTGATGTCATTACCAGAACTGGAACATACATGTGCACAGGGACACGCACTTTCAGATTTTCAGTAACAAAAATATGGTGGAAATTCATGCAGGTAAGGTTCCCAGGAGGTCCACCATCCAACTTTCTGTTTAAAGCAGGGCCAGCTCAGGATGTTACCCAGCCTGGTCTCGAAAGCCTCAGTGCACAGATGGGGACGGCACAACCACTAAGGAGAAGAGGAGGCTATGGCAGCCTTCCTCTTTTCCTCCTGTTCGTAAAGTAGTTCTCATCAGCTAGCAGCATTCCTCCTTCTGAACAGGAGGAATATACCAATCCACTCATGGGTTCCTCTCATTTTCCTTTTAATACAGAATTCCAGGCTACTGTATTTAAATGAATTTAACCGAGTGGGGAATGGTGGGTTCAGAGGTGCAAGAGTTCAGGGCCAGCAGGAGCAGCACACTACTTTGACCAACAGTGTTAGCTTGCAGCTGCTAAAACCGCAGAGCCCAGGAGCATTAGAGCTACCTGGCAACATAAGGAAGGAATCAAAGCAGCACAACAGTACACAGGGCACGAAGCCTACCTCTTGCGTTGTGTCCTGGTGCTACACTCGTGTTGGACACAGTTATGGCAACTTGAGGTAAAAGACAGCTTCAGGTGGAACTTACAGCCCTGCCGTCAACACCAGCCCTAGTCTGCAGAGCAAGGTCACAGCACCTATGCTGCTGGGCCACACAGATAGGTCATCCTGGATAAGAGTCAGCATGTTGCTAAGCTAAGTGCATGCAATAGTTCTACTATAGCTACAGGAAGACAAGCAGCTTGTCTTGAGGTAAGATAGGTGTGAACACACTGCGTGGCAACTGCTACCACTTAACTGGTTGTGTGCATGTTCTCACTCTGTGGCAAATGCCAGGTCATTCTAGGTAGCTGTCCCCAAGGGAAGGGTGCACCTCATTTCTAACACACAGCTTTCAGCCTAGTTCAAGAGTGTGGCTCTAGAAGTTTAATTAGCATTGAAACAAGACTATTTTTAAGACCAGCTCTTCAAACATACAAGTGTGCACTCTGAGTAGTCAAAGTTCAGCAGATAACTAAACACTTTTCAAATACAAAGTGCAAAAGCACAACCAAACCATAGGGCCAGTCCACCCCACTGGCTATTTTTTGAACTTCAGACACAGCCCTCAGTCAAACCATTACATTACAGTGTCTTGAAAAGCAAAACAGCCTGAACTTCAAGAAGCCAAAGACTGATAGGCAAAACTCAGCACTATGAATTATTTCTGCCACAATTCACAGCAGTTCAAGTAATTCACATCATGGGTCTTGACACTCATCTCCCCAGCAATTAAGCTAGCAGGACTTATCTGGAACACAAATAGAAAAAGGGGACGAAAGGCCTAGAAGCCCTTTGTTTTGAACACATGCATTCATATTGCACCTCAGGAAAGGTGGGGAGGCGAAGTTTTGTTTGCCAGAAAGCTGCACAAACTTCTTTCACCATTGCTTC